AATACCATACCAGGCCATCCTTACTCCTGCACTGAGCTGGTGGTGACTCTGCCTTCAGCGCTGGGCTCCCGGCCAGCAGCCGTTGCGCTTGAGCTGCCCAGCTCTGAAGGCAGCGCTGCCACTAGCAGCAGCGCAGAAGTAAGGGTAGTAGTACTGTACTCCCCCGCCACACACACACACAATAACCTTGTACCCTCCCCACACACACGCGCGCGCACACACACACACACACACACACACACACACAACTCCTTTTGGGGTCAGGACCCCTACAACACTGAAATTTCAGATTTAAGTAGCTGAAATCATGAAATTTATGATTTTTAAAATCCTATGACCGTGAAATTGACCAAAATGGATTGTGAATTTGATAGGGCCCTGTTCATAAGGTACAAATCTCTTAAGTTGTAAACCAAATCTGCACAAAGGGTGCCCAAAACTTTTGTTTGAAGCTCTCTCATTTGAGCACTGTCTTGTCTTACAACGGAAGAGACTGAAATAGTCAAACTAGCCTCCATTTTAGCACTGTGCTAGACCTGCTGTTTCATGCATTTTTCTTCCTCAGGTAATTGCGGCTGAGGGTGAAATGAACGCCTCCAGGGCCCTGAAAGAAGCCTCTATGGTTATTTCAGAGTCCCCTGCTGCCCTTCAGCTTCGCTACCTGCAGACTCTGACCACCATCGCTGCGGAGAAGAACTCCACCATTGTTTTCCCCCTGCCCATAGACATGCTGCAGGGCATCATGGGTGCAAAACGCTAAACTGTTGGGATGTAGTGGGAAAGGGATCTTCCCCAGCAGGACTGGTCTGTGAAACCAAATTAGCTGATAAAGCTTAAAGCAATGTTAGCAGAGGGGATCTTTAAAGGGGCCTTTTTTGTGTGATACTTGAGTGTGTATGTGAGTGTGACTGATCAAAATCTTCTGCAATTTATATAAACAAACTCTGCTCTTAATTTCAAATAGATGCTTGTTTTAATGTCCCTGTGGGTCAGAAGCGTTTCTAACCTGCACACACATCCCGTTTGCAAATGAGATGACCACTTTGTGTGAAGAGCTCACTTCTGGAAGGGCTGTGAGATGATCACACACCAGAGAAGTGGTTACCTCTCATCAGTCACACACACACTCTGAGGTGATGTTCCCTTTAGAGAAAAGGTTCCCTGGAGCTGGGTGTGGAGGGAATGTAAGCTGGAATCTCTTGGTAGCCACACACACTTCCTTCAGTTCTGCCCAATTGCTAAAGTAAAACAATGTGTATACTCAATCTCTCTGAAAATCAGGTCAGTGGCTTCTTAAAATGCAGTCTTCCCTCTTGCAAGATGCAGCAGTTTGCCAGCACTGCTGAAATTAAACTTTCCACCCCGCCTTGCTGTAACAGCGGAAAAGGCATGAGCACACTGTAGTTATGGATATAGTGTTTGTATACGCTATCCAGTTGTCACGGTTTGTCTGTCTGTATTGATTAATGCCTTTTTTAAAGCATTTAAAATGTCTCTGGATCTGCCTTTATTTGTGCATCCGCTTTTTAAAGGAATGTTCCTTTTTTTAAAAAAAATCTGAGTTTTGTTTGTACATAAGTAGCCTTTTTTGTCTTGATTTTAAATCTGCTTGTAAACCATTTGAAGTGCTGTATGTTAGTCCTAAGACTTGCATCTCTTGCAAATAAGGTAATTTTAAAGTCTTGTACTTCATTTTTTATAAAAGATCTATACACAGCTTTTCTGTCTGTTAGAGGAAATCGGTGACTATTTTTACTTGTTTTCTGCTGAAAAGCAACATTTGACATTCAACACTTACAGTTGTGATTGCATACTATGTGAAGATTTCATAACCTTTTACCTTTTGCCTTGTTAATCTTAGTGCAATGTATGGTACAAATTAAACAGTTCTATGTTCCAGTTTTAAAGAATGATGCAAGAAAAGAGAATTAGTTATTTGGTCCACTATTTCAACATTCAGGCAACTCCTCTCTTTTTCTGATCTCAATTGGAATACTTATTTGTAGTTTGGATTCCCTCTGACTCTCTTTCTAGTGTAATACTAGAAGTTTCATTGCTTTGATGTATCCAATTGATATTGCTCTGAGCAGTGCTACTAGTTTTACAAATCTCTGTCTCATCTGGCTGGAAGCAAATGATCATAACAGAGAGAGCAAACAGGCAATTAAAATTCTCACGGTGATTTGCATATATAGCTAACCCCAGGAGCATGTGGCTTCTTCAGTTCTGCTAATCCTCGCCTTCACTTGCTTATCTCTGAAATTCACAGCCATATCTTGCACCTGTTTAGCGGATGTAACTAGAGATTGTGGTGAGATGTTGAGCCAGATTCTGCACTGGAACAACTCCACTGAGCTGGGCCCATCTTTAAGCACGGGGTAGTTGGAGTGAAGGACAAAAACAAACCTAAAGATAATGATGGATTCCAGAAGTGCCCTTGTTATCACGCTGCCCTTAATAAAGTATGTATTTTCTTGATCAATCACTTCTCGGGTGTGATTCATTTTGTGCTTACATCACTTCTATTTAGTAATGGAATGAGCCAAAAAGCACCTTTTGTTCTTGACCAACATTTTCTGGATGAATTCTGACTGCCCCACAAACTGATTATGTGCATTAAGAACCGTTCCTGCAGCACTCCATTCTCCGTTGTCTGTGACTACTCGTCTGTCTAGTTCTTATACCTACATGCTATAAGTCAGGATTTCCTGTACGACAAAATGTAGTACGCAATCCTTTCATGAGGGCTTCTTAGCTGTAATACGGGCGATGTAAGAGGTGTTTATGGTGGTAGAGTCCAGTTTTGGTACCGTGTACTTAAGCAGTATGCGCCAGCTCCTTTCACTTGTAATGCACAACATAAATGACTTGAACCACACAGCTGCTGTTACCTCTTTGGGAATACAGATGTGAGCCTTTAATTCTTTCTACTACCATTTGACTGCCACCCATAGGGAAACTGTTGACAAGAGCTGGACAACTCAGCCCTCCTCTTGAACAAAACAAAAAAATGCACATTCCTCTCTGATCTATCCACTCACTTTCTCAAGGCCTTGGACTGCTTGACTGACTAAGATATTGGAACATACAAAGTCTAATTTGAATGCTCAGTGCACTGGAGTGCCTGGCATTTGTTCTGTAGCTGTAAGAATTAGCAGTTGAGCTCTATTTGCCCATGCTAGTTAGTAGGGGATGCTATTAGCTCTGGAGTCCAGGGAGATAAATCACTGTGGGCGGCTGGGAAAAGGTTTTTAGGGATTTGTGAAAAGACCCAGAGAGCGGCTGCACAATTACACAGATAGTAACTTGGTGCCTAATTCTAACCAGCACCTTCTTGTAAACCAGCACTGCTCAATGTTCTGTACTAAGGCTGTGTATGAACCTTTGCTTGCACCTTTCCCCTTAGCTCACTCTATTGTTTCATACAAATGAAAAGCCAGGGCAAAGATGCTTTTTCTCTCCATATAAACCACTTCTTGTACGAGTTGATACCTGGAGGTGATACCCTCTTAATTTGCTGCTAACGAACAATTTGCTTAACTTGTAAAGAAACACACAACTTTTCTATGTTTTACAGTGAGCTGAAGCCCAGATCAGTCTTTTAATAGGGAGGAAACACAGACCAAAAAAGCTGAATATAGTTCTACTGAGTAGCAGTTACTATGCTGTTTTAAAAACTAGAGGCCAACTGTGGTGTATCTGCCTTCTAAACTAAATCCTTATAGGGACTTTATACTGTTTTCATGTAAAAATGACAATAGATTTTCTTTGAGAATTGAGAGGGAGTGTCCAGTCTGATACAATTACAGCCTGAGTGAAACTATCATTCCTAACATAAGAGCATCTGCAGACAGGCCGGCCTACCCTCCACTTAATATTCTGCTAGGACACTTTGCATTTACCGACTCAAGCACAGCTGTGTGAAGGGGAGCCATGAGAACACAGCACCTTCCTTTCTCTCTAGCTGACGGGTCTTGGCTACTTTTTTATTTGCACTTTAGATCCAGAGATGCTGTCCTAGCCTTGATTTGATCAGCAGCTGCTTTTAGCATTATCCTCTCTTTTTTCTTCCACACGAGATCTTGCTACAGATTTCCCCAATGGCGCATTCTTTATGGAACCATTACGCTGCTTTATTATTTTTTTTTAAGAGGCCTTTTCTGTAATACCAGAGTGCTGTAGGCTGAAACCTGCAGAGCGTCTCTTGTGGCAGAAACAGCAACATGCTTTTGCAGGGCAGTGACGCTAACAGCTGTTGATGATAAAAAGCCCAGCTCAGATAATTCAGTCTCACTCAGTTAGTAATAAGGCCAGAGTGGTTATTCCATTCAGCAGAGGAAAAGCATGGTGTATTTTATAGCAATGAAACCAGCTCTCCTGGGAGTACCAACGAGTAGCAACATATTGCATCCATAGGTGTAGTTTCATGATATTGCTCTGTCTGCACAGTGGAAGCCTCAGCCCCTGGGATTCAGCATTTCATTCAATCCATGAAGCTGCTTTAGCATTTAGTGCTCGGGTTCCACACCTGCTAATAGCAACAGGTTAATAAAATGAACCATTTCCTGCAAGGATCTAGCGTTAGTTCATTAAAACATCTAAAGCAAATGGACCAAACTTCAGTTGCTTCTATGATCTACTGTAAACAAAAGAGGCAGCTTCTAGGTTATTGCTGCATTCCGTAATATATTGCTACCAATTCAGTCCTTTTCCACACACTTAGAAGCACTGGAATAAAAAAAAACTTTAAAAAAAGCCGTAATTTGCTTCCCAATCATTGGCTAGTTTAGTGCAATAATAAAACATTAGTAACAGATCTGCACCAACAGGGGAACCTCAGAGGTGGCAGCTAATGTGTTTGTGACAGTGGCACAAGGAAGATAGTTTGGGGTTTTTTAAGTCTCTATTTCAAGATAGTCCAAAGTTTAGACCAACGCTGCTATACAATTTCTGTTTAACCCAGTTTTCTTCCAAGTAGTGAAACAAAACAACCAGGCACATTTTTAGTGTTCGCACGTTCCATGTAAGCTTTATTGTATTAAATACCATGTTCAAAGCAGTGGGTAGCGTGATAGGACTCATCATGAATTTCTTTAATTATTGCACAGCTAGTTGGCTATTAAAAACAGTGGCCACATTAATGTGTCTCCTGCAGGAGGACGTAGCTCTGTAGGCACTGAAGGCACCAAACTTGCTCTATTTAAAAAAGGATCCTCTTTACTTAGGCAGCCAGCTCTGCCATTGCCCTCTCGAGAGGATCAACTGTCCAGTAATCGTCATCCCAGCCTAGGAACCAGCCAGAGAAGGTGGGAGGTTCGAATCCTTGCTTGATGATCGCGATAGTCGTTCTCTTATCTCGGTTGGCAGGATCAGTCTCAATGTACCTTTTAGCTGCAAATACACAAGTAAGAAAAGCCCATAAAATCACAACATCTCCATATGCAGCAATCAGAGAAAGAGGCTCTGGAAAAGCTAAATGCAAAACAGAGGCATAATGTCAGGCTGGCTCTAGTTTCTAAAATGCTTTTTTAAAGAGGTGATGCCGCTAGTGGGGTTTTATTTAGGGCTACTGGCAGCCTGTCCCAGGAGCTGCTTTCAAGGCAGCTGGCAGGGTTCAATCAGGGATATAAACTGCTCTTTTCACGTGTGATTTACATGACTGCCCCCCTAATGAATATTACTATTTAAACAGCAAAGCACCATCCTAGCCTGTCAGACACAAAGTGATCACTTCACTCCCATTAGGAATTCAACCTTCCATTAAGAACAGTTGTTTACCCACTGTATTGCTCAGCTGTGCATTTAGGTGTACGGCTTAAAGGGAAGGCAGCTGACAGAGAAAATTATGGGTTGTCGTAAGTAAAATCATTCATTTATCCTAAGGGTTATTTTTTCACTGCTGGAAGCTGAGTACAGTATGTCTGATAACCAGTAGCTCCTTGAGGCAGAGCTACAGGGATCCTTCCAGACTCCTAAGTCTTCCCAAGTGACTCCTTGTAAATGTACTAGTCTGTCAATTTTATGCTGTCATGAAGACACCTGTTTTTCAAAACGTTCAACCCTCTACTCCAAGTGATCAAACTGGAGGTGAAGATCAACAGAGAAGAGTTCTTGAGGAGAGGGGCATGTGATAGTTACCTGATGTCATGGCCTCAGTCTTTTCCTCTTCATTAGCCTCATTTCCAATCCAGACAAAGACCTACAGATTAAAAATCAAACAAACAGCGTCAGCCTCTATCTGAAGTGAAATTGAAGTCTGAAAAATGTCTCAGGGAGCATGATACAGAACAGAATAAATCCATGCTACTTGGACTGAATTACTCATCCCAGTAAACAAAGTGAATACTACTGCTGGCGAAGTTTAAGACAGAACTTTTGGCCAGTAATAAGTCTCCAGCGTGGGAACAATTAGACCCTAATCTGATACAGGGGAGAATCAGCTGGTGTTTGAACTGCATCTTTACATTGAACAGCTATAGCATGCCCCTGTCCAGACTGCCTTTTGGTTGACCGGAGCAAGGCAACCGAGGAGCCGGCTTTTTTCCTTAAGAAACCGGTAGACGATATAATTATTTGTTCAATGCTGACAACATGCTCAGTCAGATACAGACAAGGCAAGAGAGCAACCTCTCACGAGCTTATAGTCTGAGAGAGCCAACAGACTGTGCTGGGATCCACCATACCCTATCGCCTTTGGTCCATCATCTGACCAAAGGAAGTGGCAGGATCCCAACGCCACCCTCAATCCTTGGGTTAAAATGAATGTAATTTAATATCTGATCCATCCTCTGTTGGGTGACTTGGTACCAAGGTCGTAGGGGGGTGCATTCCATGATCTTTCCCATTTCTAAGTATTGTGACTGTCGGTCTCTCAGCCTAAAGCCATATGGCCCATATGCAATATCCTCTCTTTGCTTCCCTCCTAATAAATATATTCGGAGGTACCTGGTCCCATGTGTCAAGGATCATAACATCATCTGTAGCAAGGTCATCTTGGGTTAGCTCTCCAGGAACCTCTTCAATCTGAAAGAATGAGGTTAGAGGGGGATCAGATCCTTCAAGGGGAGCCACACAAATTTATATCATTTTGTGTCACATGGGGAAACCAGTTCATGGAGGTGCTATTACCACTGGGGAATGAGGTGCGTGACGGTACAGTCTGTCCCCTTACGGGCAGTGGAGCCTAAGCGTCAGCCCACCCCAGTCACGCGGCCTGGCCCTTTAAGATTTTGGGACCTCTGAGATGTAAAAACGTACATTCGATCTGTGTTAAAGTATGGCTGTGAAACATGGACATTCAAACAGCCAAATAATAAAGAAACTACAATCCTTCAAATTAAGGTGTTATGGAAGAATTCTGAAAATATCATGGATAGCCCACATAACCAATTAAAATGGATTGGGATTTGTAGGGCACATTTTAAGAGGTTTGGGGGCGAGATGTATGCTTGCAGACACTGCAAGGGAAAGTTGATGGCAGAAGAACACAAGGCAGAAGATGATCTTGGCTGGACAATGTGGTATCCTGGGTGGATCAAAAGGTGTATTCATCCACAAAGAGATTAGTGGAGGATCGTATAGAATGGGCTACCATGGTTACAAACCTCCAATAATGGACATATCACATAAGAAGAGGTGTGCCAGGACCTAGGACATATTGGAGGACAGGAAGAGATCCTGGGAATAAATAGAATTTGGCAAGAAAACCCATTACTGTCTCTTTAAGGGTCTGGGACCAGGGGCCCTGCAGAGTGGGCGGGGCAATGCTCCCCTCTCTCCCAGCCAATTGGGATGAGCTTTGGGAAGGGGATCAGTATATATGCTGCCTCCTCGCACATAGCAGGGGAGACCTGGCGAGAGAAGCCTGGCCCACCTGCCTGCTGAATCCTGCAAACTTGAGGTCTAATTGGGGGCAAGGTGTCAGCTGAAGGAGAAGCTGGCTAAGGCCCTACAGCTGGCCTAAATCACCACTCCAGCTCCAAGGAGAGCTTGGGGGGAGGGTGGGCTCCTGTTTTAAGGAAACAGAAAGGGAGAGAAAAAGGCTGCCTGCCTGCCTGAAATACAGCCCAGCTGCTGCCAACGAAGCTGGGAAGGGCCTTAGGAAGCTCCTTGGTAGCTGGTTGGGAAGAAGTTGCATGAGGAGACAGAGCTTTGAGTGGGACTAGTGGAGTCTGCAGCCTCGTGAGGGACACTGACAAAGAGGGAAAAGGCAGGAGCAGCCCAGGGAAGTGGCAGTGGATTGGAATGAGCAGCCCTTCGCTGCACAACACAGGGTCCCTGGGCTGGAGCCTAGAAGAGACGGTAAGTTCCCTTCTCTCCCAGTGAGAGAGAATAGCCCATAGGGCTCGCTTAGCTTTTGCTGTAACACCAGGAAACTACAGGCCTGTATCCTGTCAGACAGTAGTTTAAGGAAGTTTTCATGAGTATAGTCAGGTAGAGTAAGCCCCTGACCATTGATAAATGGCCTAATAGATTTTGGGGAACTAGGAATAGTTTGCTTAATAGCAGGAGTTGAAACCTAATGGTAAATGGCAACTGCAAGCTCATGGAAGTGATACCTGCAAATCTGCTTGGGCAAGAGGTGACTAATATAATGAGTTAAATGGTATTAATATGTATTAATATGTTAACCTATAGGATAAGTAACCCCAATATTGTGAGGGTGAGGAAGTTAGATTTGGGCATGGAAGGCTAAGCCTTCGCATGAATATTCATGATGATGTTCAGACCCTATAACAGGGCAAATTACCATGTAGAAAGGAACTTTTCCCACCATTGTTGGCATTCCACCATTTGTCCCTTCTACTCTTGTTCTCTACCACCAGTCTTGGGCATTGAGAAATCTGGACCATCAGACACATTTGGCATGTCAGCAACAGCGCTGGTCCTTTGTCTCTTACCACCAGGGCCTCCAGGAAGGGTGTCATTATGCAAATCTAAGAGTTTATGCAAAGAATGATACCAGAGACATCCCCAGTATTGTAATATTCTTATCTGTTTATGTGGCTTGGAGCTTTTCTGACTTTAGTCCTTATTTTAATACAATTCTCTAAGGCTTGGCTTTGCCCTGAGTGGGCGTGTTCTTGCCATATGCCTAAAGGGTCCCTACAAGCTATTGAACTCATTGGTTTTGTTCTGTGTCACCTGATTCTGGGACAAGAACCCTATTGCCTTCGGATCAACTGGCCATCACTACACGTACTATTGACTATTCAAAAGGATCGGGCAACAAGAGGAAGCACAAGCATCAGGATTTAAAGAGGCAAAAGACAGATTAGTCCCACATGGGGGCTGAAGGCCTGGCATACAGAGTGTTCAGCTTTGATTTTTTCCTGTTACCCCAGAGGGCGCTGAACTGAGAGAAGACCCGCCCAGAGGGCCAGGCCATGGAAGCTGGAGACTGCTACAGCCCAGGATGACAGATGACGGGGATGCAGTACTAGAGAAGAAGCCTGGCAATGCTGCATCATGGCCCAAAGGGGTGCTCTGGTGGTGACAAGGTGCAAAGTTCATTCACAGTTCACCCCAGTAAACAATAGAGTTTAGGCTCTGGTGCTGCTTAGTCATTCACACCCCCCATACTCCTAATCCGAACCCCTGTCACTCAGCAAGTGCTGGAGTTAAAGCCAAATAGCCTGCCTGTTGGCCTCAGGCAAAGGAGACCTAGCTCGCTGCTGCAGGGATTCGGTGTAGTGAGAACAAGGCTGTAGCGCTGGCCGCTTTCTTTGCAGCAGGGTAGCGCTAAGACGCTCCTTCTGCAGAGACCCGTGGGGAGGAGCCCCCTGTGCGTTTCTTGGGGAGCGGCCTGGGAGGCAGAACTGTACCCTACTGCCTGGCTGAGATGGGTTTCCCCAGTCCTGGCAGCTGGAGGCTTGTTTCCTTATGAAACGCCGCCTTAGTCCATCACACACTCACAATGAAGCGTCCGCTCTTGTTTGAGCAGGCAAAGAGGCGAGGGGGGTTAACATCCATCTTCCTGTCCTTCAGCCGGGGGGAGGTGCGATATGCTGCTTTTCCACCCAGAGCTTCCCAGAAGCTATCTGCAAGAGAGAAGGGTATGCTGACACTCCTTCCATGTACACCCGACGTCACGCCACTGGGGGGCTACCCACCCTGGGACCTCGCTAATCCCCTCTGCTTGTCTGAGACCTGGCTGGACAGAGGCACATACTGCTCATGCACACAGTATGCCCAGGTGTGTTTGCTCTTCTTATGCCTATAGAAGGTGCTTTGGAGTAGCCATTCCGCGCCTGGGCAATGCACCAGACTGTGCCCAGCCTTGGGGCTGCAGTGGCAGGGGGACAGGAAAGGACGCCACCTGTGCTCCCTATAACGTGCTTTATCCAAAACACTGGGACATCAAAGGGACATCCCTTGCCCACCCGCAGACTGCAAGGGACTACGCAGTCTGATCATGAACTCCAGTGACTTATGCAATGGTGCTGCTTCAGTGGCACATCTGCTCCTGAATACATCTGCGAGGGAAGCAGCCGCACGTGGCGATGACGCTAAAGCAGCCTACGGAGTCGCACGGGATCCTTGACGTGGGAGGGCAATGCCACAGACAGGGAAGCATCATGAACTACAGCAGAGTCAGAGCACATGATCTCCCCAGCTTCCTGCTTGCACCTTGATCCGGTAGTCAGGAGGCTAGAATCTTGGTATCTCAGGGAAGGGGTGGGGCTGACTTTGTCCCCTGATTGTTCTCTGGCTGTTTAGAATCGGCTCCAACCAGGACTCTTCCCCGAGTGGCTACCAAAGGCAGCAGGAGGGGAATCCGTCTCTAGCAGCAGTGAGATGCGTGGAGATGGGGTGAAACAAAGATGTAGGCGCCGGCCTGTTAAAGTGACCTGATAATTTACAATAGGTGCTCAATGGGTCCCCAGAGCAACCTTCCCTCTTTCGGGTGTGTGCGATTTTAAAACCGCTCCTACTCCCATTACCTCTCCCAGATAAGCCGGAGGCCTCTTAACCCGAATACCTTCTGCTGAGTGGCTGGACTCCCCCCTGTATGACATACCCATATCTCTTTCAGTGCAGAGCCTAGAAGGATGAGCTTCCCAGAGGCGGAACCGCTGGTCACCTCTTTGATTGGCCTTGATGTGGGAAGCCCCAAGTAAATACCCATTGGGCAACTGCCAAGGAGAGCAAGAAATTGCAGCTACAATGTAAGGAATCTGCGAGGCCCAGCTAGGCCTCCCTCACCTGGCTCGCTTCCCTCAGCAATTTGTACTGGGCGAGCTCCCAGAATCTTCAGCAGCTCTTGTGCCCCAGATATCTCGGTGTCGCTGGCTGCTTGGCCAACCCAAAGGTAAGCAGTGGAGGGAGTTTTCAGGACAAACGCATCGTTGGAGTTCAGTTCACTGGCAACAGCATCCAGCTAGAAAGCAACAGCACCATAGCTATCAAACGGGTCGGTACTTTTGCCACTGACAGTTATATAAGGACTATGATCAGCGCCCCCCCCGGCGCTGGTGAACAAACTTTAACCATCCACCATCCAAACACCAATGACTCAGGGATAACATTACGCTGCCAGTTGCAGTCAAGTTGGTGAAGCGGAAAGATTCTATAACAAGCATGAGAAGATTAAACAGGTGTGTGAGGGTGTGTACGTGTGTGGGCGTGTGATGACCTGCAGCCAGAATAGGTAGGGCTGGGATCTTGCCAAATCTCAGCAGGATACTTAAGTACTTAGAGGGGAGACCTCCATAGAACAAACTCCATGCTGCTGGCATTGGTGATTCTGTAGTTGGCATTTTCCCCCGGCTCAGTATTGAACCAATACCCTAGCATGGAGCTAGGAGGCTGCTGGAGACACCATGTATTTATGACTAATGAGCAGGATTTTTTTTTTTTTTTTTGCAAGAATAGGGGGATGAACCCAAGTCCTGGCTCAAATTCTATTTGGAAACCAGATACTTGTCACTTCCTGCCTTTAGCTGTTAAGTACCATTGTTGGTGCTGTTAAACCAACTGCTGCATCCCACCCCAAAGGCTGATGCTCTTCAACGGCGGGTTAAAGTCTCACTTTATATTCATATGCAAAGTCCTTTGAGAACTTTGGAGAAAAGCCCTTAACAACATAAAATGGTATTAATAAACTCCTGGGAACAGGGTGATTATTACTACTTACCCATGGGAAAAGGGGAAGTTCTTGATAGCTTATCTGGACTCCGAAGTTTGTTTCAATTTAGCACAAGTCCACCAGAAAGTTTAACCTGGCCTTGCCTCTGCTCTCAGAGGGAACGTGATGTGACAAGATCTTACATTCCAACTGCTATCTGTGAACCCAATGTTCGGGGTTAGCTGGCTTTCCCATCACGTACCTCCACGGCTCTGGTGGCTCCAGAGGTGCTGGACCGGACCTGAAACAGCCGTGTTGCGGCTGGTGCCGTCTGGCCTCCATCCCTGGAGGTTCCACCCTTGTAGACAATCAAAGGTTTCTTGCCAAACATGCTCATCAGATGAGCTGGCTCTTTTCCCTGCACCACTCGTTTCTGGGGGGAAGGAAACTCAGAGTCACATATGAGATGATAAAAAGCAACAGAGGGTCCTGTGGCACCTTTAAGACTAACAGAAGTATTGGGAGCATAAGCTTTCGTGGGTAAGAACCTCACTTCTTCAGATGAGATGATGCAGAGCAACCAGGGATTCCCAAATAGGCTGCTCCTTTTCTCCCTCAGAGCATGCCCCCGCTGGGAGCAGGGAACCAAACCACTGCTTCTCACACAGAAACTGGTCTGGGGGTAAATTAGGCCCTCAAAATTGCATAGCAGGGACCCCACACGCGGCAGCCTGAACCAACTAGCAGCAATAAACGCTAGTGTAAAGAGTGTTCGGTCGGTGCCTTCTGGCTACGCAGCTGAACAGCCACCTCATCTTTACTATTCTTTGTCAAGTCCGTTGCGTGGGGCCAGGGCCACCTGATGTAGATGCAGCTATAAAAGTCCCTTGTCACACTGCAGAAACCACCTGAAAAGGTGGCTTCTGACACCGCAACTGGAGAAGACACTAACAGGAACTCAGCTGATCATAACAGGAAGCAAAGCTGGCAAGGGCTGAGTCAATAACTTTTACTAGTCCATGGGTTGGGCTCCTGGTTTCGCTTGGCATAAAGCCTCTTCCAAGCAGCTCTGGCAGGGCAGGGTGTGCAAAGGCTGCTGCGGCAGAGAACTGCACGGGGAAATGAATGTGCAAACAGGCCTGTTGCCATCCAGTGTCATAAGGGGAAACCGACCCTCACCACAGATGTGACATTTGCTTGAGGAGGATCCTGAAACCATCATGGGATTTCAGTCCCCACCTCTCCTTTAGAGTCACGAGAAATCTACGAACCACACGCTCAGGGATCTGATGAGTTACACACTTTTTTCCCCTTTAAAGACAAACAAACTGCGTGTTTAAGTTTCCTGCTGCAAAACAGTCACTTCCCTGAGCCCCTCAGGCCTTTCACTCTTGGGGGGCAGTAGAGAATCTTACGCTGCCTGCACTGCCTTTTATAACCCTCGAACAGCACCTACATACTACAGAAAGGCCAAATTTATAGCTATATGAGAGAGATGCTGCCTTGAGCCTTTGTGCCATCTCCTAAAGATATGGCCCTTCTGGACAGGTCAACCCCACTGTGGATCCAACTTAGAAACCCTGGGGAATGTATTCGGCTCTTGGGAACTCTTTGCCTCTTTCTCCCACCTGCATTTACCCTCTGGTGCCAGAGGCTCTCCTCTCACTCACATTTCTTTTCCCTTGCGCTTTGATTTTTAAATACAGCCAAGAACCAAAACAGATGTCTACGCTGACTCTGCAAGTTTGCACTTCAGATCAGTACAGCGGCCTACAGAAAGAGAGGCCAAATATATCCAAGGTTTTTCCTCTCCTCCCTGCCAGCAAGCAGTGTCAGCTCCCGACACTTTGCACCAACTGTCATGATGCGAAGTTTATTCACCCCTGAGCATTATTAACAGTGAGGCGCAGAAGGACGGTGTCTCTCACCAGAGTGGGGTGCAGGTAACTGGCTTGCTATGGCAAAGGCACACATGTCATTAGTTGGTTTTATCTACCTGCACGGGGCTGCCTCCCAGCTCTTCGTCCAGCTGGACACTGAGGAATGCGGAGGTTGTAATCTCATCCTGGGAGGAATCTGCACCCTGCCTGAAAAACACACAACAAAATCTAACAGCCTTGTCCTCGGGTCACAGTGAAATTTCCTAAGCCCTAGAGAGGTCAGGAAAAGGCCAGGGACTCCTGGTTGTTAACCAACTTGCACAGCATTTCACTGTAGGTATGGAGGGGAATCCGCTAACATACAGAGAGTGGAATGTTTAAACAGGAAGATCGATACCTTTTCAGGGTGAGCAGGGTTTTCTAAGTATCCATATTCTGCCATTGTGCCCAACCCTGTGGTAGCTGATTTAACAACACAGCTGCGGTGGCTGTTAGCAGGAGCGACGCACTCAACCTCCACACTCTGAACACTCCCTTAAGATTTCAGCTCCGCAGCTCATGATGTACGTAAGCCACCTGAGAGAGCTCTCCTCCCCCGGCTGTGGCTTCTGCTTTCTCGGCTCCACTGGGGACTGCCCGGAGGGCCCAATCACTGTGTGCCTGATTCCTTTTTGCACTGACCCCTTCTTGCCCCCTCATCCCCCCTACTAACATTTGGCCTGCAGGGGGAGCCTCTCCAGGGAGAAATCTAATTCCGGTTGGATCCTGGGGTAAGCGGCAGCCCGTAACGATATGATCTCACAGCAGTGGACTCCAGTCCCATGCAATTACAGTGCAGGGCATTTGCTTTTTGGCTCCTCTCCAGAAAATCCCTCTTACCAAGTGTAGATAATCTGTCCCGTTTTTCCACTGTGCTTGTAGTCATACAAGATAATGTAGCTGTCCCCTCCGTAGAACTGGCCATACAGCGAAGGATTCACGGGCACTTTAGCAGAGCCTTCTATTCTCCAGATCTACAAAACCAGCAGCAAAAAGGGGGAGGGGAAATACCCCAAACCACAAAATGGGAGAACAGAACAAACTGTGCTACATTAACAAGGGACTTTTTTGTTTTGTTTACTTCACATATTCAACCTCCTACAAGCCATGGCCCTGCAGTGCCACCTGCTGGGGAAAGGTGGTAAAACAACGAGCCCCTCCCACAGCCGGTGACATACAGCCTTGTGCAAAACCTTTCCAGAGAGGCCCGGAATCAAGGCAAAACTTGCCTGGTTGGGTTACAAACCCCAAACCTGGGCCAGGTGCACCAAAAGGCTCAGAGCCCTGGGGGTAAATGTGAGTCAGGGGCCGGGTGCCTGTGGGCTGGGTGACAAGTCTTCTTGCTGGCTTGGTGGTACCCAAGAGTTTCTCCAGCCTAGGGCAACCTTGGGCTGAGCTTTCAGCCGGCTGGCCCCCCACATTTCCAAAGGAGCAAGCATTGGCCAGGACCTCTTTTCAGCTCAGAACTGGGATTGGGCAGTAGAGAGAAGAGGAGGCCTCAGCGTTTAGCCCTTCTGAGCACAACCTCAGCATGGCTTCTTTGCACAAACCCAGGCGTCCAAATGGAGAGGGGAGACGCTCCCTTGGGCAGTCCCCCTGCCCCAATGCACTCCCAGACCGTCACCCTCCCCTGCCAGGAGGCAGATAATGGAAGAATCAAGAGGGGACACAAACTGGTCCCTGGGGGTGCTGGTGCCACCATTCTCTCTCCGCGTCACCCCCCTACCTGTTTCTTGCCAGAGCCATCGTCCTCCATGCCGTGCTGGGCAGCCATGGCTGTGGAGTTGTGCAGCGTGGCGGCGTCGAAGGGCACCTTCTCGACCTGGGCGATGTTGCTGGAGATGTAGGCTGTGCCTAGCCCCTCCGTCTGGTCTCTGTCCCGCCAGTTCTTGAAGAACTGCTTGAACAAGGGGGTCTCGCCGCTCTCGGGCAGGACTTGGACCTGAAATGAGGGAGCCGGCCCATCAGGGGGAGTCGTGTCCTGAGCCTGGCTGGGCTGCAGTTCTAGCCCATCCCAGCTGTGACACAGTCACTGGCTTCAGGATGACACAGGGCCATATAAATCCCTAGGGCGACTCCACAGCAGATGCCCCTGGAGGGATTCAGCCACAAAGAGCAATCCCGGGGCAGCTCTGAACTGATGTCGCAAACCCGCAGCCTCTGAGGTGCCCGCAGGTCTCACTGGCCCCATAAGGGGAGACTGGGCAATCATTCCCTCCCACTATCCCCAGGAGAGAGGTGATGTTCTACACACCCACTGCTTGGCTCTCACAGCGTTTCCACCAGCAAAGTGACCACTGGCTGCGAAGCATTAGTTTGCACCCGGCCCATGTCTGTTCAAGCCTATTTTAAGCACAGATATACCTGGAAAGTCTGTGCTACCGCAATAAAACCATGGACCTCAAGAGCATGTTCCACTGGTTACCACCGCACAGTGGGGCTGGGAGAAGACGAATCTCTCTTAAGAAAATGCTGGAGAAGCCATGGGGCAAGTCATCCCCTAGGGACAGGTTAGTCAGCACCTCTTCATGCCCAATGGGAGTCGTTCTGAGTCCTTCCTGGGCAGTTTCTCTCTGTTTCTCCTGCTAGCTCTCAGACAGACTGAATCACCACCCCAGGTGTCTGGCTGAGGAGAGTTTGAGGTGCACCCTCAATGGTGTCTGAGCGTCAGCCCGGGGGCAGGGCGTGCAGCCACCCAAGCCCCCGCCAGCGCTGCTTACCTGGGTGTGTTTGGGGTACTGCATCTTGGAGATGAACTCGGAGGCAGTTTTCAGGGCTGCCTTCTTCTCTTCGGAGTTGGCCTTCTTGCCTTTAATAAGAACAAAAAGGGCAGTGTTGATGATTGTTAAATAATACACTCTGATGTAAAAACAAAACACTCCCCCTGATTTCCTTCGTGCCCAGAGGGGAAAGCGAATCACCCAGTCCACAAGTTAAACCCCTTCCACTGTTGCACTGCAGTAGGGCTCCACCTGCAGGTGACGTCACAGAGAAGAAAACAACCATCTGTGATGTAGTGAATGATTAGGATCACCTGGAATAGCTCATTAAATCAATTCTCTGCCATTTCTGGGGGCCTCGGGCACTGGAGCTCCTCGGTCCCTCCTGTCCTCTGGCTGTGGCACAGGCTAGTTTAGTCTCCTGACGGCTGTAATACTTTGGTCTGATTCTGGTGGCTGGTCTGCGTGTGGAGGTGGGTGGATGGTGTTGGTGGCCTGTGATGTACAGGTCAGACTAGAGGGCTCGTTCCTTCTGGCCTTGAACTCTATGACTCTATAATTGTATGTGCCAAGTCCTGTGCATATGGCCCAGTGACACAGTCTAAACCCACCCCCCGCACCATCCCAGTCATCCATGATCCATAACCCAGTGGCCTGTGGTCAAACATTTGTAATGCTCTGACGGGCCAGAGATCCTGCACTGGCTACACCCTGCCTTGCAGGTACCAAGAGAGGGATAGTCACCAAGACCCTCTCCCCTGGTGCTCAGGCATCAGGATCGTGCAGAGGGAGAGAGGAGATTGGCATAGCTAATGGGGGAAGCATTTCCACATGAGTGTCCCCACTGCCACATGCAGACCCGCATCCCTGCCAGGGTGCCCTACACAAAGATCCCTGCACGGGTATCCATGAACTTAAATGATCTTCCCTTCCACTCAGAACTTCTTAACTTTTTCTGCTAAATCTCCCGAGATGCCCTTCTGAGCCCGTGTTCTGTTCCTTAATTCCCTGCAGAAGCTGCAATTGACCGGCACCATGCACTCCCTCCCCACCCCCTACTTGCAGGAAGCTGGGACCAAGAATCGAATATAGATCCCACGCACAGCTGCCTTTATCTAATTCTCCTCCCTCCCCAGGGTACCTTTCCAAATGAAGATTTTCCCATCAGAGCCATGGTCCAGAATGAAGCAGTCGTTGGAGTCCAGTGCAGCCTGGGAGAACGGATTCTCGTCTGCCACCAGAGAGACAGCCATGTTCCCTGCACCATTGGAGACCTGGGATAATGCAACACAAGGATCAGTTCAGAGACACTTTGTGGAAGAACCTGGAGTCCTTCTCCTTTCAACGTTCCACAGCTACATGTAGCAGTTGGAGGCAGACATCATGACTTGGGTGCATTGGTTTCCTTCACGCCTCCTGTCCTTCAAACGTGATGTTCTTGGCACAGCAGTGATGTGATACAAAGGGGTGGTCTGCCCCAAGGATTTCAGGGATTTCTCCCACCACTGCAGCTTCCTAGGAGACTAGAGAAATGGTAGCACATCTCTCCAATGTCCTCAGTGCAAATGCAGCCCAAAGGGCCTTGTCAGCAGAACTGCCCTGTGCCCCAAGGACTGGAAAGGGCTATTTCGGCATCCTGATGACTATACTGAGGAAAAGCCACTGGTGGGTTTGCTGGTCCACATCAAATGCGTTTGGTGGACTCAGACTCTAGAGTTACTAATGGACAAGTGTTGACATCACAAAACCACGTCCATACTTGTTTACTAAATCACCCGTCAGTGGATTGAATGGCCACGGACACTAAACTCCCTTCTCGCCCCTTGAAGTGGTCTCTCCAGGGCAGGGCTGAGGGACACTGGCAGGTCCCTGTGGGCCAGTCTGCCCTACCATTGCACACACTGGGGCTAGCCAGGGATAGCTCAGTGGTTTGAGCACTGGCCTGCTAAACCCAGGGTTGAGAGTTCAATCCTTGAGGGGGCCACTTAGGGATCTAGGGCAAAATCAGTACTTGATCCTGCTAGTGAAGGCAGGGGGCTGGACTTGATGAGTTTTCAGGGTCCCTTCTAGTTCTATGAGATAGGTAGATCTCCATATATATTAGCTGTCAAGCCAGCCTGCACGACAGAGGCAGAGGAGTTAACAGAGTTGGGTCCCAAGCTCCTTGATTCTAGTTCATTCCTGGCAGCTCCCTGACAGGACACTTCCCCCACTAAATACAGCTGCTAGACAGATTCATTTCACATTACTTCCTTCTCTCATGGACAGCGACTGCAAGATCTCCCAGCAGGCTGGCATGTGTGACATTTCACCTCCGTTCCTGACAATTCCAGCTGTCACATGGGAGTCAGTAAGGCCTGGGCAAGGCAATAAAGCAATAGTGGCTACTTAGATGGTCTTGCATAAACTTTCTTTGTTAACACTTCATAAATAGCTAGCGACACGAGTGAGAATCAGAGCGCCTCTGCTCCGCTCCAGCTCTGTCTAGTTAGAACAAGTTAGACAAACACCTTTCAGCGATGGTCTAGGTTTACTTGATCCTGTCTTAGCACAGGGAGCTGGACTCTCAAGGTCCCTTCCAGCCCTACATTTCAATGATTCTATGATTCCACCCTTTGCAGGGCTCCTCTGTCAGGAGCCATCTGCTTCTTGTTACCTTATACAGCTTAGCCAGCTTTCTATTGGATGCATCAGCTTTGAGGTCATCAGCGACTCCTTCTGGCAGATCGGGCTTAGGTCCCAGAACCTGAGAGACAGGAAAACAATCTGCTAGCTATGTGCGTTGATCCAAGAGAATTTCTGCTCCCCAGATGCTCTGACCACAAAAACACACAAGAGAAAATGTAGGTCAACTACATCAAAACAGATCTGTTCCGATCTCCAAACCGGGCTCAACACTCACTGTTTTCTGTCCCTTGCACAAGAGAACAGCCAGCAGAAACATGAATAGCCCCGTCCCTCTGAGGATCTCAAAGCACTTCACTCACATTCATTAATTCTTACACTATGATGTGGGAAAAAGATGGGGAAACTGAGGCTATACAATTTGTTCAAAGCCACACAGCATGTCAGTGGCAAGGTCAGAGTTAGACCTAGATATTGTGACTCACAAGCCTGTGCTGTAGCCATTCGACAGCACTTCTCCTGCTGCTATTGTATATCAACACACACATTCTGTACTGCACATGTGCGTGCAGGCCGTCCTTTCATCCAGACGCCACACTCATCACCCCAGCAGCTGATTGCACAGAAAGGACTTTGCTGTGACGTTCAATGAAATACAAAGAAAGTGACCTGCAGCATTTGCTCCCGCTCTGACCCTTCCTCCATGACGTAGACTTTGCCACGGCCACTCCGCTCATTATCCCGGATCCCCTTAGCCACCTGGGTGGCCTTCAGCCGCTCAAACCGATTGCTCTTGGAGCCGCACCACTGGTGGATGTCCTGCAGGGCACAGACGAAGAGTATGGCATTTCAGAGAGCCCCATCCCAGGAACACGAGGCTTCTTTAGGCAGCATAATGCAAAGAACACACCAATGGCTGGGTTAACAGGCCTGAGCTAAGCAGCAGCAGTGCATTAGGGCCTTTTCATGCCGGTAGGAAGGGGCAGCCTGCAGCAGCAGTTGGTGAGGGGTTGGGAAGCCTGGATCTAGGGGGCTGGAGTCCCACAGCTCATCAGCCCAGGAAAATACAGCTCACTTTCCTCTGTGGCAATATGAGAGTTACTAGATCGGCTGTGCAGTTTGTGAAATCACTGGTGACCTGGGGGAGCCTCGCACAGCTTAACACAGACTAGGAAGAAAAACAAATGGCCCACCAAGACATCTCCCATTCCCCAAAGATTCGCCGAACATGTGTTTAACTAGCAGACTTACACTGCCCAGATCAAGGATGAAACAATCTCCATTGTTGAAACTGTCCCAGCTCACAGGGACCTCAGTAGCTCGAACCACTCGTCTGCCTTTGATCTGAAGGACTCTTTGGACAGCCACCTCATTGGGAACCACATGCTTGAAGCCAGAAGCAACTCCACCAGTCTAGAAGAACAAAGAAGAAGGTAACTCCTACTCACATGCTTGCTCTGAAGGAACTGAGAGTCTGAAGTTGTTGTGTCTGTGTCAGAGGCTCTCACCTCCCAAGGGCAAGGAGTCACCCGCAGCTGGCTCAGAGGGCAAGCTAGTTCCCAGTCTCTGTCTGTACAGATCACTACATCAATCCCCGGAGCAACTTCTCCAGCATACCCAGGGAAACAGATGCAAGGGATCCTGGGACACACCCAAGCTGCATAGAGCAAGCCTCTGAATATGAATATAAACGGGGTGAGCGGGAAGTGGAGGAAGCCTGGTCTATGTTGGCCTTTTTATTGCACTGGGTGTATTAGAGTAACATGCCCCTTCGCTTACTCCCTGCTACCCAGACTCCATCTTTCACTCTCACGGCTGCTAAGAGAAAGAGTGAACAGAAAACAAAGTGAATTCAAAAGAGGAAGTGACAAAGACCATATCAGCGCCGAGCTGGGAAAAGTACTCGCACTTCCTGACCATCCAGCCTATTGCTCTAACCACTACAACAGCTGCCTCCCTTTGAGCAGTCTGTCTCTGGACAACTGCCTCTCACACATTCTTTCACTCTTCATACAACACGCAGTAAGAGAAAACTCACTTTTTTGCTACCTGTCCTTTTCACTGCATTTGTCCAAGGTGAGATTTAAAACACTTTAAAAAATGATACATCCACCGATTAAAGGTCTGTATCTGGCAGAAGCGTCTATTCTATTCTTGGACAATTTAGGCAGTAGGTTTCAGCCATTCCCCAAAAAGCGAAACCAAATTAAAATGAGAAAGGAATGGAAAATACTAGGGTTACGAATAAGCAAATAAAAAAATTGTAGGAAAATCCTGGACAAGGAAAAAAATAGCCAACTGTGGAAGAGCCTGGCGTAATGTTGCTTTGCTTGTGCCAGTGGATAGCTAATGTGGATGACTATGTCTGGACAATCTAATTCCACCCCCTCCTATCCCACCATTTTGCACCACTATGGAAGAATGATTCCCCAATGCTTTCCCCCACCTTCCCGTAACACTACCCATGATCGATGCCAAGAGAACTAGCAGAGGAAATGTGGTGGGCATAGAAATAGAGACACTGGAAAGGCCACAGCTAGTTGAGTCGATGGGGAAGGGCACAATCAATGCACAAGGGCAGGCATCTGCCATTAACTCAGATTTCTATTTCCCAAATCAGCTGCAGACACCTTGGGGCAGCTCCCTTCTTCCAAGAAAACAAAACTCCAATCCCTCCAATTGCCTGGGGCTTTCATTTCTGTCTCATTGAATCCAGCCCGGGCTCTCTTACTACGAGCTGCTGTTCTGTGCCCTGTCATTGAAAACAGCTGGTGAGGAATTTATTCCCTGTGATCGACAAGAGGGCAATCCTTACTTCTCCTCGGTGACGTGGACAGGCTGGGAAACCTTTCTACTCAGATTCAGACCTGCTAGGCTGGATGTCCAGCAAATACATACTTTGTACTTCAGGCCAGATTTGAAGTATCCCAGGAAAGTTGAAGACTCGTGCCCTTGCACCTCCCGATGCTGGATAGCCTTCCCGTGAAGATAATCGTCCATCTGGACAGTGAATATGGCAGCTGCACCGCTTTCATCCTGACTACAGAAATCCCCTAGAAATCAAAGGAAGACACCGCAGAGTGAATGCAGGGCCTCTGCCGTCTCATCCAGCTGTTTCACATTGGGCAAACAATTCCTTGGAGGGCTAGTTTCCTGGAAAACCTCTACTGACAGGTATTTGATTACAGCCAGGTAGGGACTGAGTCTCAGTTTCTCCATCTGTAAAACAGCTATAGCAACACTGACCTCCTTTGTAAAGCACTTTGAGATCTACAGATGAAAAGCTCCGGATAAGAGCTAGGCGTTCCTACCACTGACAGCCTGACTGACTTGGCTGACTTGGCAAGAAGATGCATTCAGTCTGCCCAAAAGTCAAGCAATCTAGCAGACCCTGAGGGGGCACTAGTGCATTGGCAGCCTGGCTCTGCAGATTGTCAGGAACCCTTGAGAATTCCTCTCTCAGGAGATTTGGCATTGCTACAACATAGATATGACAAGGCACTGAACTAGTATAGAACCCCATTGATCATTAGCAGGCTACTCCACTTTACTGCACCGCAGAGCTGCGTGTTTTGTATGAGAGCTCAACTGAGGTCCCATCTGCTCCATGTGGGCATTAAAGACCCTATGGCACTTTACAAAAGTGTAAGTGTTCGTTGTAGAGTCTGAACAACATTTTCCCTTCTTGTGGTTGTGCAGGGCAATGATTAGTTGCTGCCCTCCACCCCAGAGGTGGCTGCATGTCAGTAGTGCAGTGTTCAGAGAAAGTGTGAAACACTTTGGGATGAGAGGCACTATGGGAATAAAAAATTACATGACCTTAACAGTGCCACTTTTGCCTTCTTTTCCCTTGTGGCAGGACAGGTTAACCCAAGAGTCCTGGACCAGTGAGAGGAACACAGTGCAAGAACTTTCACTTTCCCGGGTTTAGCTCCAGGAGTTGGAAGAACTGCCAGTTTCCATTAAGACAGAGACAAGCCCCTCGGACCTTACCTAACCAGAAATGCAGATCATACTGCAGGTTCCCACTCCGCTGTTTGACGGTGTTCAGAACCAGATAAGCATCTCCAGTGAAGAAGTCTCCATACAGGTTTTTTGGCACAGGTACCAAATCAAATTTCTCAATCCGCCAGATCTGTAGGCCCGGCTCCTTTCCAGCCTTCAGAAATTCAGCGTGTTCCACCATGCTGACAGGCTGGGAGAGGGAAATGAAACAGAGAATTCTCTTAGGCTTGTGCAGTACAATGAAGCTCTTGTTAAACTAAGACTTCTTCTCGAATCCTAATTACTGCGGTTCCAAACAAGGATTGGGAAGTTTCCATTGGCTCTCGCACTGAAATCATCTAAGGAAAATCCTTCTTGACCTTTATTACTTTCCATGTCCACCCACCTCCATTTCCTGACTTCCTTCCTAGCCTCTTTTTGCCTCTATTCCCTGTTATCTGATTACTTTCTCCCTACTTTCTCTCTCCAGCTTTGCAGTTCTTTCTTCTCTGCTGATTAGTCACTTCTTTGTATGGAAGGGTGGAGGCAAAAGACACAGAAGTTCCCTTTCTATCCATTCCTTTATATAAACGTTCCATAAGTTGGAAGGCTCCAGGGAATATATATATATTTTTTCCTTTCATCTATATATTTTACGTGGTTTGCAAAATCACTGTTATATTTCCCTATAACATGTGTGATCTATTAATCTCTCACAGGCAAACGCTGGGAGTCCCATCATTTCTAGGCTGGGAAAACCATGACAGAGGACAATCTGACATTGGCAGGGAGGTGGATAAGTGACCTAACAGGACTTCTACATCCCTAATGTCTATGCTTCTATGATATTATGATGCACTATTCACTCCAACGCTTTTGTGTGGCTTCTAGGAATTACACTAATAAATCACTACTCCTGACGGTTGTTGACTCCCTTCAAACTACCCTGTCTCTAGCAAACTTTGCAATTCGAACTTGCCATTGCTGCCTCTATATTATTATTATTTATTAAGCAGTGACAATGTGTTATCACTTCTTTTGAGACAATAAAGTTCTATGGCTACAACTAGAAAGAATTCAGGATAGCAATATTAAAAAGAAATAAACCAATCCTGATGTATTTTAGATTAAAGGAAGGGCCTGTGTCCCTCTACCAGGGCAGACCTAGCAGGCCTCTGAGTACTATAAACTAATAAAGGCGAAGAAGAAAGAAATAATATTACATCATAAGCATCCAGTACTTCGACAAAGAGGAAAGTTCACAGCAGTTAATGGACAAAAATAAAATTTATGCTCAGCTCACAAGGCAGAAATACAAAATGCTGCAGACTAGAAAGCAATACGGCAAGTTAGCTGCTGAATCCATATCTAAACTGAACCCTGTCATCAAATGGATATTTCAAACAGTGCCCTCTTACAGTTTCCACTCCACAGGCTGCACGGCTTAGTTAGGGAAGCCTTTTACGAAAGTTTAAAACCACGCAGGAGAACACGACCCTTGTAAGTATTTTCTTAGCAGAGGAAAAGTTTTACAGTCTTTAATTACATGATTGGTCACTTACCACAGCTGAAAGAAGAACAGCTGCTGTAACGAGATAGCCGAGCCCTGCGACAGATACAGAGCTTGCGTAGCTTAACCTCAGAGCCATTGTACAAAAAACTGTGAGCAGAATGCAACTCTAGCTGTGTTTGCACTGGAATTTAAGAAGCGTTTTTAACAGCAAAGGGTTCTTCACTCTTTCACCTCCAACAGAAGAGGGACTGAGGAGCCCCAACTCCTTCTTTGTTTCCCTGTCAATAAAGATGTGCCGCATAAGCTGGTGCTTTATCACAAGGAAATACACCCAGCTCCCTCTGAAATATAAGGGCGTAACATGCCTATGCACACGGTCCACTTGGAGGCTACACAGATTTAATCTGTGCAGTCATTTATGGAGGCTCTATCCCAAAAGACAGTACTAAAGGACAATATGGTATTCATTACAGCAGGCGGTGCAATAATGGACAAATAAACTAAATATTTGGTCAAAAGGCCAATAACAGAGAGAGGCATCAGCCATGGAGACAAAAATGTATCAGCTGAGAATTGGAAAGAGACGGAGAGTTGATGAGGTGCTAAGGAACAAAAGGGTTGTTCCAGATGGCAAGGCCTGTGGAGGAAAAGATTCTCATACCAACGTCAGTGACCTGTGGGAAAGGACAGAGAGTGCTAAAGGGAGCCGGCTGAGTGATCGGAGGGTGAGGATGTTGTGTTCATATTTCCCTGTACATAGAGATAAGCAAGAAGCAACATTTGGCAAATGCTTTGGGTCTCTTGCACATGGATTTCAGCCTCGACACAAGCTACAATAAGAACAGGAGTACATGTGGCACCCTCCTGTTCTTTTTGCGGATACAAACTAACAAGGCTGCTACTCCGAAACCAGCTACAATGAAATTGGTGTGAAGCAGAGGGGTTCTAGGTACAACAATGAAGGACCACTCGTCTGCTGGCAAAAGGATTTCCCTTGCCAGACAAGATGGGAGAGCAAGAGCTAGCTCAATACTTTCACACCGTAGGCTTTTAGGGATTTAGCAAGATAACTGTGACATGCATCTAGCAGTCTTTGGGCTTATTGAGTTAAACGATAACCATGTAGAGCTGACGTCAAAAGACTCGAGAACCAGGCCTACTGCCTCCTGCCATGAGGTAAAAAAAGCGAGCAGTGAGCCTGCTTCATCCAAGTAGTGTACAAAACAATAAGTGCCCTATAATAAGATTTCTCACTGATTGCACCGCTGGGCCACATTAGAACTGTGTGTGTCATATGCCCTCAAGTGGCTAGTCCATTAGAATATAATAGCCTACTATCACTACCACATGATGGAGTTACTCCTAGAGTTCCAAGCGCTACAGGTGGTGCTGAAGGTTCTGGGTTCAAGCGCTACTGAAAACCCATGCAGAGGTTTATTGTACCATGCTATACAGTCTGGGATGGTACGTCTACCCTAGGAGATCAGACAGAGAACACTGGTAGGGAGGAAATGAATCTCTCTCTGTGTTTATATTGCAGGCTACATGTATCTAGAGCGGAACTGAGTGGAATCTTCAGATTCATTACCCGACTTTCTGGGAAGATACTTAAACAAGTCTCTGTTGCTCCTCCCACCCCCACTGAAGTCAGTGGCCAAATTTCCATTGACCTCAATGGGAGCAAGATGAGGGACACACACACACACACACACACACACCCCGCAACATAGGAAAGCTTTCTCCTCTCCTCATGAGAATCATTTTCGATCTCTCTCTGTTTTGCTAGAACACTGTGTTTTTCATTCCATAGTTTCCAAGCTGGTGCTCTGTGTCTGGACATTTGGCTATTAAGTATTTCAGATCTTGGCAAGCTCCTGCTCCGTTAACAGACCTTTGACAATAAGTATCAAAACAAAATTTCCTTGGAAGTTCTCAATTTTTAACAGAGAATAAAAACAATTTCTTCATCTGGCTCGGCTTGAATGGGGTTTTTCCCCATCCCTGGGGAGGGAGCTCACACAGAGCATCAAGGTCTGAAAAGCAGCAAACATTTGCTGGAATCATAAGTGTTGGCCAAGGTAAGTTGAGCCGTGCTGGGAAGCCATCAGTGAATGGCTCTTACAGCTGTTCCATCTGTGGTCCACCCAAGTCCAGAGGACTACACTGAAAAACAAATTAGTAACAATGTTGGAAAGAGAGACAAGTCCCTTGCAGATGGAAAGAGAGTTTCAAGTATTTATTCATAAACATTTATACAGTGCCAGAACTTTGCATGCAACTCCACTGAGACTGAGGGAAAAAGACCCAGGGCAAAGTGCCTAAGTAATTCAGGAACCCACATCCCATTTTCAAAAGTGACATAGGGTCCTACATCCCATAGACTGAGACTCCTAAGTCACTTCGGTGGGTTTGAAAATGTTATCCCCAGCCCCTGCCCTGCAGAGCTAACAATATCAATTAGACAAGTGCAAAGCATGAAGGTAGACAAAGGAAAGGGGTAAGGAAAGGAGAATGAAACAAAAATAATGTGACCAACATAGTGAGCAAATAATAAATTATGGTGCTCTTAGGACATAAGGTGAGGAGTACATGTAATATTCATGTGGCTGGTCCAGCCTACTACTGCTGTCAGCAAATGTAGTTACCCTTTTAACTGGAATGGCAGAAAACTGAGCTTTGGTGTGAAGGGCTCAAAGCTTGTTGCTGACATGTGGCAGAAGTCAATACATAGATTATAGAGAAGAAGATGTCACAGGTGGAAAGCCTGACAAAGAAGTGGTGTGAAGAAAATACTAGTATAACTCTCCAAGTCACCCTCACAACTAATGCAGAGTAAACCCAACATCTTACACACAGAAAAGGCATTCAAGGGGAGGAAAGCTCCATAAACACAGGGCATTGAATACACAGTGTTGGTGCTGGGGGATTGTCTGAAGGAGGCTTGGCTGCTCAGGGATAAAAACAAAAGCTTTTAAGGAAAGAAGCCCCTGTGTTTTGAACAAACAGTGGAAGACAACTGCTTATTAAGGAAGCCAGCTGTGTGATTAACATCTCAGTAAGCACGACAGGTCTATTCAAGAACATCTTATAAATATGTACCTTCCTACTGAGATAATTATGGGGATACGTTCACTAATTACAGCACACAGTGCCCCAGACATATAGCAAATGAAAGTAACATCTACAAGGAAGCTTGAATTGTCTGATTGCTCAGTGGCAGGGTACATCAGTCTTCCAGTTTGGAGTTTGCTTTTTTCAAAAGAAGTTTTCAGTGAACTAAGGTGAGGTGTTCACCCTGCACAAGTAGTGAAAGGGTTAATGTGGGCCCAAAAGGCCAATTAACCTACCTGGCTGAACCTGGAGGGTGCCCCAGGACTAATGAAAGATGAAGCCCAGCTGGAGAGGAGCTGGGTGGAGCTACAAAGACAGAAGATCTGGCACAGAAGGGGTTGTAAGGGAAGAACTGTGCAGGTGTTCTCTGGGAATTAGAGACAGGCAAGAGCTGTGGGAAACACTCCTGCAGGGTAAGGAAAAAGCCTGTATGGGGAAGATACCTGAAGGCACAGGACTGGAGCAAGCTCCCATAGCTGATGCTGATACAAGGGCAGAAAGCAGACCTCTGGGGAAAAGCCCTGCTCAGTACAAATAGCCCGGGAAAGGGCCTGAAGAAAGGCTCATGGTAGGATGGGGTCCGGGGAGGACGAGGCAAGGTGTCTGATAGAGCAGAGAGTGGCTGCTTCCAGGGTCCCTGGATTGCAACCCACTGTGCAGGGTGGGACTGGGTTCCTCCTTCCACCACTGGGAAGGTGGTGTGAAGCCCCTGACATAAAGGGATAAGGATGCTTTAAAGCCCTCATGTATGGACTGTGGGTCTGAGGCCCTGATGTGAGGACACGGGATTTGTGTTGGACTTGCTGTTACCCCAGGAGGGGTGGAACTAAAACGTGACCTGGCTGAGTTGCAAGAAGAGGCAGACCACTGCAGTGGCCATTGCCTGGGGCACTAGAGAGGAAAGAACTGCTATGCTACACCCAGCTGTGAGATGGGGGACACTAGTGGTGAGGCCACTCCTCTACAGTATGGGATTGCCGCTGAAAGGTAGGCTGTCTGCCCTGGGTACCGAGGGCTTCCGCTAAGCACCAAAGTGATGCAGGTTAGGCTCCTTTCTGCCCCACCCCCTGGCACTGCCCTTGCCAGCATGCCCCAATTCTCTTCTGAACAGACTCCCTCCAGGGAAGGGGCATTTAGCCTCCTGGGCCCACTTAATTCTTGGCCGCTCCTAGTGGCTAGGAACCATGCACCAGTTGCAGTGGGGCATTGAATGAGGTGGGTGTCTGTGCACTGGCGACTGGACCGGAAATACAGGACTCCGGTTACAATGTTACTATCCCTTCTGGTAAAAAATGTGACCTATCCTAGAAGTTGAGGTAACGAACACTTGTTAGCTCATTGGCTGATTCTTATGGGATGCAGCTCCCGCCACTTCTCTCCAGAGACGATTCCAGAGAGTAAAGTGTTTTTTTTTTCCCCTCGTATCCAACTGAAAAGTTCCTTTTCTTAAGTCCACCCCACTACTCCTAATGATACCTGCTTTTTACCTCCCTAAATAATTCTCTCTCTCTCTGGGCATTTAAGCCTTTCAGATATTTGCAGACTGGCATGCTTCACACTCAGCTGTCATGCAGCCAAGCTACATAAGAACGGCCATACTGGGTCAGACCAATAGTTCATCTAGCCCAGTATCCTGCCTTCCGACAGTGGCCGGTGCCAGGTGTTTCAGAGGGAATGAACAGAACAGGGCAATTTATCAAGTGATCCAACTGCATTTGGTTCACTCCCAGCTTCTGACAGAGATTTAGGGACACCCAGAGCATGGGATTGCATTCCTGGCTAATAGCAATTGGTGGATCTATCCTCCATTGAGGATACTCTCATACTGACCCCCATAAATCTGATCTTTCTGCATCTTACTCATTTTTGTTGCTCTTTGCTGAATTCTTTCTAACTTGTCTCTATGTTTCTGGCAACGTATCTGGAGCTGAATGTGACATTCCAGGCACAGTCTCACCAGAGCTCTTAAATACTTCAATTACGCAAATAAAAACAAAATGGATAGAGGAGCTATCCCTGCCCAGGTCCATGACATGATCTCTGGGCACGTGTAGTCCAGACTCACATCTGCTCACTTTCCCTGCTGTATCCCATCGCAACGTCAATTACAGGGAATCGACTTTCCGATGACTCTAATCTGACCTATCCCGGCACCTCTAATTCAAAC